TCCCGTTAGGGATCCGTGCTACAAGTGGAACAGACGGGAAGGGATGGTATGAGATGAAAGTGGATAGTTTGAGAAGGATTGCAAAGAAAGAGAAAGTGGAAAGCAGGATCAGAAAGTGTCAAACATAAAATACAAAATAATCATGGCAGTAAAAGAAAATTACTCATGTGGAGGATGGATTCGTCATAACTCGTAAAATTGTACACCCCCCAAAAGGTGAATTTTACCATATGTAAATGTAAGAAGCATGGGAAAAAAGAGGCAGCATAAATGACCACACATTGTCATGTTTGTACAGCAATGTGGATATACTTAATGCTGGACTGCGTATCTAAAAATGGTTAAGTTGGTAAATTTATGGTATGTGTATTTCACCACAATTAAGAACATTTAAATTCAGGTCTACAAAAAATGTAATGTCTGTATAATGGACTATTATATAGTTACTGAAATAATTTTTCCGAAGAATTAGTAATGAAATGAGGGTCTACTTGTTATATTAGACTAAAACTAATCCGAGGCTGAATTGTACTAGGATTTCACATCTGTAAGTCATGCAGAAACACGGGGTGATTAAATGCCAAAGTGTGGAGAGTGAAGGTCTTGGTGATGGGATTTAGAAAGATTGATTATTCTCCTTTACACTTCTTGGCGTATTATTAGTTTTCACGTACTCTTTTTGTAATCAATAAAAATGAAATCATCAGCAGGTATGTGCGATGATGGTATATTACTGAAATGGATTATCGATTATTTCATAGAGGCTCCTATTTAAACCATAGCAGCCAAAAATCAGATCCATCCAGATCCACTTTTTTTTTTTTAAGAGAGGGAGGAGGGAGGGGCAGAGGGAGAAGAAAAGAGAAAATCTCAGTGAGTGAGCCCAGCGCAGGGCTCCATGTCAGGACCCTGAGATCATGACCTGAGCTCCCAAATCAGGAGTGAGATGCTTAACCGACTGAGCCATCCAGGTGCCCCCTCTCAGACCCACTTCTTTTTTATTTATTTTATTTATTTATTTATTTATTTAAAATTTTTTTTCTTTCTTTTCAGCATAACAGTATTCATTGTTTTTGCACAACACCCAGTGCTCCATGCAATACGTACCCTCTCTAATACCCACCACCTGGTTCCCCCAACCTCCCACCCCCCGCCCCTTTAAAACCCTGATTGTTTTTCAGAGTCCATAGTCTCTCATGGTTCACCTCCCCTTCCAATTTCCCTCAACTCCCTTCTCCTCTCTAACTCCCCTTGTCCTCCATGCTATTTGTTATGCTCCTCAAGTAAGTGAAACCATATGATAATTGTCTCTCTCTGCTTGACTTATTTCACTCAGCATAATCTCTTCCAGTCCTGTCCATGTTGATACAAAAGTTGGGTATTCATCCTTTCTGATGGAGGCATAATACTCCATAGTGTATATGGACCACATCTTCCTTATCCATTCGTCCATTGAAGGGCATCTTGGTTCTTTCCACAGTTTGGCGACCATGGCCATTGCTGCTATAAACATTGGGGTACAGATAGCCCTTCTTTTCACTACATCTGTATCTTTGGGGTAAATACCCAGTAGTGCAGTTGGAAGGTGCGTAGGGAAGCTCCATTTTTAATTTCTTGAGGAATCTCCACACTGTTCTCCAAGGTGGCTGCACCAACTTGCATTCCCACCAACAGTGTAAGAGGGTTCCCCTTTCTCCACATCCTCTCCAACACATGTTGTTTCCTGTCTTGCTAATTTTGGCCATTCTAACTGGTGTAAGGTGGTATCTCAATGTGGTTTTAATTTGAATCTCCCTGATGGCTAGTGATGATGAACATTTTTTTCATGTGTCTGATAGCCATTTGTATGTCTTCATTGGAGAAGTGTCTGTTCATATCTTCTGCCCATTTTTTAATATGATTGTCTGTTTTGTGTGTGTTGAGTTTGAGGAGTTCTTTATAGTTCCTGGATATCAACCTTTTGTCTGTACTGTCATTTGCAAATATCTTCTCCCATTCCGTGGGTTGCCTCTTTGTTTTTTTGACTGTTTCCTTTGCTGTGCAGAAGCTTTTGATCTTGATGAAGTCCCAAAAGTTCATCTTTGCTTTTGTTTCCTTTGCCTTTGGAGACATATCTTGAAAGAAGTTGCTGTGGCTGATATCGAAGAGGTTACTGCCTATGTTCTCCTCTAGGATTCTGATGGATTCCTGTCTCACATTGAGGTTTTTTATCCATTTTGAGTTTATCTTTGTGTATGGTGTAAGAGAATGGTCGAGTTTCATTCTTCTACATATAGCTGTCCAGTTTTCCCAGCACCATTTATTGAAGAGACTGTCTTTTTTCCACTGTATATTTTTTCCTGTTTAGTTGAAGATTATTTGACCATAGAGTTGAGGGTCCATATCTGGTCCATATCTGGGCTCTCTACTCTGTTCCACTGGTCTATGTGTCTGTTTTTATGCCAGTTCCATGCTGTCTTGGTGATCACAGCTTTGTAGTAAAGCTTGAAATCAGGTAACGTGATGCCCCCAGTTTTATTTTTGTTTTTCAACCTTTCTTTAGCGATTCGGGGTCTCTTCTGATTCCATACAAATTTTTGGATTATTTGCTCCAGCTCTTTGAAAAATACCGGTGGAATTTTGATCGGAATGGCATTAAAAGTATAGATTGCTCTAGGCAGTATAGACATTTTAACAATGTTTATTCTTCCGATCCAAGAGCATGGAATGGTCTTCCATCTTTTTGTGTCTTCTTCAATTTCTTTCATGAGTGTTCTGTAGTTCCTTGAGCACAATTCCTTTACCTCTTTGGTTAGGTTTATTCCCAGGTATCTTATGGTTCTTGGTGCTATGGTTCTTGGTGCTATATTTCTTGGAGTCTTGGGTTTTCCATATAAAGAATCATGTCATCTGCGAAGAGAGAGAGTTTGACTTCTTCATTGCCAATATGGATACCTTTTATTTCTCTTTGTTGTCAGACCCACTTCTTAAAAATTTATTTTCTTGGGGCGCCTGGGTGGCTCAGTGGGTTAAAGCCTCTGCCTTTGAATCAGGTCATGATCCCAGGGTTCTGGGATCGAGCCCCACGTCGGGCTCTCTCCTCCACAGGGAGCCTGCTTCCTCCTCTCTCTGCCTGCCTCTCTGCCTACTTGTGATTTCTGTCTGTCAAATAAATAAAAATAAAATCCTTAAAAACAAAACAAAACAAAACACATTTATTTTCTTGCAGCATCTGGGTGGCTTAGTTGGTTAAGCACCTGCTTTCAGCTCAGGTCATGATCCTGGAGTCCCGGGATCGAGCCCTGCATCGGACTCCCTGCTCAGTGGGGAGTCTGCTTCTCCCTCTTCCTCTGCCCATTCCCCCCTGCTTATGATCTCTCACTCTCTCTCAAATAAATAAAATCTTTTAAAAAATTTCTATTCTTCTAAGACTAAATATTTTAAAACATTGAAATAGTATCAACCAACTTTTAAAGCCAGATGTGGAGCTAAGCCTGTGTTTAGCTTTCTTTGCTGCGAATCTGCCATTGAACTGACCAGGTAAACCAAAGGTTTAAAAAAAAAAGAAGAATGTATAACTGAGAAGTTGGGAAGTACCATTAGCGGACCAGCTAGCTGTAAGAAATTAATACAAACTATGGAGCAGCAAGCCCTGGTTGAGGAAAGCACCTGCAGGTTGGAACCGCGAGCATCCTAAGGAAGACAGGACCGGGAGAACGAGTGGCAGGGTTCCAGAGCCACTGCCTGGAGGGGTGGAGAGAGCTCGTGGGGGTCATTTGTGGGGGGTTCTCAAGCCTATAGATGACTTCGGGCCCTATAGCACCAGCATCCCAGGGAAATCTCCTGGACACGATTTTGTAGCTTCCGTTCAGTAAGGCCAATAGTTGGAAGAAAATGTGGAAGGGCTGCCTCTAGCAAGCATCTAACGGAGTCCATCGTATCGATTACAGACGGAGGTCCTGGAGAGCCCAGCCAGCTTAGGGTCCTTCAGGGAGCGGGGGGACGCCGTGCACGAATGCATCCACCCAGGGCTTCCTCTTCTTTTTCACAGAAAAAACCCACAAGTATGCACACATATTATACATTAATTTCAGGGGTTATGTGGCTCCCAGGGTGAAAACTGCACATAAATAATAGCATTACATTAATTCAGCTGAAGAATTCACTCTCTGTTCAAAGGGACACTTTCATGAGACCTTTTGCCCTTCTGATTTTTTAAAAGTTATTTCTTAGAATTTAAACTTTGAATCTCTGAGGTAACACGGTAAGTTTTATGAGTATCACCTTGTATTGGCCTTTCTTTATCTTTTTTTCTTTCCTTCCTTCCTCCCTTCCTCCCTCCTACCCTCTCTCATTTCCTTCCTTCCTTCCTTCCTTCCTTTTTCTTCCTTTCTTTCCTTTCCTTCCTTCCTTCCTTTCTTTGTCATCCTTCCTTTCCCTTCCTTTTCTTTTCTTTCCTTTTGYTTTCTTTCTTTCTTTCTTTCTTTCTCTCTCTCTCTCTCCTTCCCTCCCTTCCCTCTCCTTCCTTCTTTCCTTCCCCCTCGCTCCCTCCCTCCCTTATTTTCTTTTTCTTTCCTTCCTTCATTCCTTTCTTTTCTTCCCGTTTCTTTTCTTTTCCTTCATTTCTTTTTCCTTCCTTCCTTCCTTCCTTCCTTCCTTTCTTTGTCATCCTTCCTTTCCCTTCCTTTTCTTTTCTTTCTTTTTGTTTTCTTTCTTTCTTTCTTTCTTTCTCTCTCTCTCTCTCTCTCTCCTTCCCTCCCTTCCCTCTCCTTCCTTCCTCCCCTCCTTCTCCCTCGCTCCCTTATTTTCTTTCTTTCTTTCCTTCCTTCATTCCTTTCTTTTCTTCCCGTTTCTTTTCTTTTCCTTCATTTCTTTCCTTCCTTCCTTCCTCTCCCTCTCTCTCCTTCCTTCTTTCCTTCTCTCCCTCCCTCTGCTCCTCCCTCCCTCCCTCTGTCCTCTTTCTTTTGTGCTGCTTGCCACTCTTATGAAATCATTGCTTTTTCCCTCTTTTTTCCCTCTAGGAACTGTGAAGGACAAAATATTCGATACAAGACGTGCAGCAGTCATGTAAGTTCTGGAAGAAGAGCGTATAACCCGGTAATGTCCATGGGTTCCGTTGGAAGGTTACGTGTGCTGTAAAGCTAATGACCCCTTGGTACCCTTTGGGGAAAAGGTAAACATTTTTTAATTGACAACAGATTTTGTGTATCTCATGCCTTCCATGTGTACTACCTTTTTGGGCCTTTTTATATTTACAAACTAATTTGGTAAGTATTTAATAGTTTCTAAATTCATGGAAACAATGCCTGATACCTGCAAATACCTGGAGAGTTCCGGTGCGCTAGGCACAGGATGGCCCCCGCCCTCACACTGTCTCTGAGACCGAGGCAGACAAGGTGTGGCGATTTCTCTTTTGCATGCGGTAAAATTCCTTTCCCAGGGCCACAATGGGAGAGCACAGACTTGAACGGGTCTATGGTGTTCTTCCCGCTCCAAACCACCTGCCCTGCCCACCGCACGAGGTGTTTAAGAGAGCTCTATTGGTGGTTCAAGAAAATCCTATGTCAGGACACGGTTTTGTCCTGCAGACGTAGATGTGTCCTGGGAGGCAGCCCTGCCAGCCTGGGGCAGTAGCGAGCGGGCGCTGGGAGCGAGACCTTCTGACCACAGGGCGCAGCCGTGCTGCCAGTCTGTTTTCATCAGTGATAAAGCAGATGCAGTTGTCTCTCTCCATGGGCTTCAAATTCAGGTGGCAGGTGTGGGTACCTGTTTACTGGGCATTCAGACTGCACCACCACTCGGCCCCTGGCCAGGCAGACCGGTGTCCATCACGTCCCTGGAGGAATCTGGGGCCACAAAGCAAATAGATTTCACATGTCCTGTGACCAGGGGGAGGGGCGAGGACTCGGGGGACGCACATGGGCGTGATGTGTAATTAAATGAGCTGCGGTCCAGCTGGGGGGTGCGGGAGGCAGAGCGACTTGGGACTTTAGCGCAAACCCCGTCTGGCTTTGTTTTCTCCTGCAAGCACGAGCGTGCCTTCGCCCCGGAGGGCTTTATCTCGGAGACATTTCTATGCACTGCCTTTTGTGGGGCTGCATATTTTTGTTTGTTTGTCTTTGCTGTTGTTTGTTTTGAGGGCTTTTTTTCTTTTTATAAAAGGGCCGCTTTAACAAGTGACCACAAATTCCTTGCAGCCATTCAACGATAAATTACACCCAACATCCTAGCCTGCCATATTCTGAAACTATCTGGGGGAATTCATGTTAAATGCCCAGATCAAGGTGTTGCCCTTGAGATTTCTTTCTTGGGTTTCTGTGTGTGTGTGTGTGTGTGTGTGTGTGTGTGTGTGACAGAGAGAGAGAGAGAGAGAGAGAGAGAGAGAGAAAGAGAGATTCTGCTCTCGTTAATTCCGAAAAGACACCTTTCTTCAGCACAAGGGGGTCTAGGAGCGTTGGGTCACACAGTGTAGACATATAATATAATCTACTAAAATCAGTGTATACTGGGTGCAATGGTTAGGACTTAGGTGAGCTCAAGTGAAGATCCCAGGCCCCTGAGGCCCTGTGGTCTTGGGAGGACCTGTGGTCTCTGCGTGAGGGCCCCTCTGGGAGGATCCTGCGGAAGCCTTTACCACCTGTAGGCTGCTGAGGATTGGAGGGTTAGAAAGTGGTGACCAGTGGGCAGGACCGCCACGTGAATGTTGCCCTTTTCGTTTTTCCGAGTTGGGGTATGTAGAGAGATTTCATAAGAACGCGGCATTAGTAGCTATGCTTGTCCTTGTGAACTCAGAGTTTGAACAGAATTCCTGTTAGGGAAAGGAGGGGGGGTGGCAGCAGGCCTTTCGGGGCGGAAGTGTTCAGGACACCCTCCACCTCCATGTGCCAGGCTCTGGCTCTGCAGCCTCAAGCATCCCGTGGATCAGAGGCGGCCCCATGCAGTCCCCGCGAGAGGGCTGGTGGTCTTCCCCGGAGAGACGACACTCTGTGTTCCTGGGAATAGACAATAGAAACATGGCCAGGATGTCAGGCACCGTGAGTGGACGTAACCACAGGAACTCAGGGTTCAAAGATAGTCACATCCTTTCCTGAATTGCTTCCTGCTTTATTAATTGAGATTTAGAATCACCCCTTTGAGATCTCCCCCTTCCCGCTACCCAGGGTGGTGCCGAGAGCAGGAGGGGGGACCGTCTGCCACCTACCTCCAGTGGGGAGAGAAGTGAGGTCCCGTCACGGCACGCCTGCTGTTGCTTCTCACGGCCATGCAGTGTCCCCGTTGCAGACGGGTCACACCCCGTTGACAGTCAGGGGCTTCCCTTTTCCCTGGAAATGGGGCCCATCACCCCCTCTTCTGAAGGAAGCTGCCTTTAGTGAGTCCAAGACGAGGCACTCTTACGAGGGAGATTTGCCCTGCGATTCAGAGACACTGACGCCCATATTTCCAGGGCATGAGAGCCCATCTGATGGGCCCATGAGATCCCCCTGTTCCCACCTGAGGGACCTCACCGTCCCAGTCTTGGCAATCAGGGAAGCCTGCCCCAGGGAGGAACACAGGTCACTGCCGGGGGACCCCAGAGACCCTCCGTTCCCTCCCATCCCAGAGGTCGCCCGTCCTTCTTTCTCTTCTTCCACATGATCATCTGAAGGCTCAGGCTCTCTGCCTCGAAAGCACAGAGCTTGTCATCTGGGCATGCCAGCTTTCCAACTCTTAACAAAAATCAACAACAACAACAACAACAACAATAATAATACTAACAGACCGCTTGCATTCTGAATGCTACTTCCTGTAGTACTTCCTGAATGCTAGGCATTGTTCTAAGTGCCTATCCACGAATCCACTGATTTAATCCCCATAATATCTCTACAAAGTAGATGTTATTTTGATTTCCACTTTTTAAAAAAACATTTATTTGAGAGGGGGAGGGGCGGAGAGAGAGGGAAAGAGGGAGAGAATCTCAAGCGGACTCCCCTGAGCACAGAACCCTGTGCGGGGCTCGACCCCACAACCCTGAGATCATCACTTGAGCCAAAAATCAAGAGTCAGATTCTCCACCGACTGAGCCACCCGGACGGCCCTTGCTTCCACTCTCACAGAGGAGGAAATGTAGGAAACGTGCCCGGGGGCACAGAGCTGAGCTAGACCCCGGCAGTCGCGCTGAAGGCTCTGGAGTGCACGCTTCTAGCCACTGTGCGACACCAGACCGCCTCATGGAAAGGAGCCTGCGAGGTCTGGAGCCTTGTCAGATGACCAGTGACAGCGAATACGGCTGCTCCTCCCGCCTCGGGAGCCCATGACTCCCAAGGGAAGTCGCAGGAACATCCCCCCTTCCGAGACCATCATAGAACCACCGACCACCAGGAGCTGTAGGATAGACCTTCTGACTGGCCACAGTGGGCCAGGGACAGAGGTCAGGGAGAGGAGAGGCGGCAGAGGGGAAGTCAGGGAGAGGAAGTCCCCCATAGCCATGGGCCTTCCGTGCCCCAGCCCCAGGGAGGGGGGTCCCTGCCGCAGGGGAGGCTCGGGCTTGATGCGGACAGACCCGACAGCGGCATTTCTGATGTCTGCCCCGCTCCGCAGAAGATGCCCGAGAAGAGTAGGCTCCAGGCACTCAAGGCAGGATCGAATGTCTTTAGTGAGGAAGTGCGGATGTGATGGGGAGTGACATTCCGAGGGCAGAGAGGAAGAAATCCTACTGTTGGGGAGTGAGCGCCACACGGCCCCCCTGCGACAGGTGGCCTCGCTGCAGTGGCTCTCCCTGGGGTCATTCTGTCGGGGAACATGGGACTTTGGGCTGGAACATTCCATAACCCCCAGTAGCTGTCATCTTCAGAGAGAACCCTCCGGTCAGCACCCAGCAAAGACCCCGACGGCCAGGCCCAGGCCCAGGCCCCTGAGGCCTCAGTGAAGATTTTCCCTTACCGGGCATCTCCCAGAGCAAGTGGAGACTTTCCAAGGGAAGTCACGCCTGTCAGCAAGGACTTCTAGTACTTGAAACCACTGACCTCTCCTTTTTATACTGGGGTTTATGGGATCAAAGGCAGGGCTGGAAGAGAGCAGAAGGAAAACACCTTTAAAAACAAGCATATCGTGATTTGGTCAGAGGGTTTTACAGCATGGACACATTTTTATGTGAGCACAGAGGGAACAGTGGTTGATTCTGCACAGTGGGGTCCCTGGCGGCTTTCCAGAAAAGACGGACGACATTTGATGGGACCCTTGAAAGACTCTCCATGCCATGGGTCCTATGGATGGCTGATCTTTGGCAGTTTCCTCTTAGAGGTGTTCTTTATTTTGCACTGTTGCTGCTCCTACTCCTGTCCAGCCTGCCGTCACACAGGTACTTTTAAAGTGCCACCCTTGTAGTCGCCTCCGTGGGTCCTGCCTTGTCTTCAAGGACCTCCAGAATCTGGTTAGACTTTCTTGTGTTCAGCTCACAAACGTTCACCCTTGCTGGTCACGCCTGGTCCCTGTCCCTCACCGCTACTGACTTCATTTCTGCTGTGTCCCTGTTTCTTGTGTTCTTTCCTATAGTTGTCCTAAAAAACATCGTATCATCCCAAACCTCTGAAACATCACTTTTCCGTGAGGCACCATTTGTTGTCTTCTTATAATGGCCACTCACAATAATTCATTTTCATGCTAAAAATTTGGCTTTGGTTATAATAGAGGATCCCAAGTTGTAGTACAACTTGGATGTGAAGATAAAATAAAAATTTTAAATTTGCTTACAGTAGGAATCCCATTTCTTCTAAGTCCCTACTCACTGGTTATCTGGGAAAAATGACCTAAATATATAACCCATATTAAAGCTTGGTTCAGTCCTTTCATATAAATCATCCCTTAGCTGAGGGTTTAACTCTTTTTGCATAAAAATGTTCCATTGATTAGGTGATCTCCCTGTCCCTGCATTTCTCACTCAGCTGTCCATGAGGATGATGTGTGTATCCTGGGCTTGAGGAGGGAGAAGAGATCTCTGTCTTCGGCATGGTCCTCGATGGGTTCTAGTTGTGTCCTTCTTACCGCCTTTTCCTTCTTCTCTTCCTAAGCTCTGTCCTCCTCCTCCTCTTTTTCTGTGTTTTCCAGGCTGGCTGCCCCCTCCTGACTGAGTCAAGTCTTTCTGATCTGGGATCTCTTCTTTCCTTATCAACTCCACTTCTTCAATTTTTAAAAATCTATCTTTACTTATTCACCCCTCCTTAGGGGGAGGTACCGAGACAGAGAGAGAGAATTCCAAGCAGACTTCCCGCAGAGCATGGAGCCCGATGCTGGGCTTGATCCCAGGACCCTAAGATCATGACCTGCGTTTAAATCAAGAGTCAGATGCTTAACTGACTGAGCCACCCAGGCGTCCTGCCACTTAATTAATTTTTAATTTAACACTTGGGACAATTTCATTTCCTTCACTGCAAAGCCTTCCTTGTGAGTCCATCAACACAAACAGTAACCCAGTGGGTCCCTGTATGTCATGCGGCTGATGCGGCATCTCCGATGAGACAACGGGCTCTCCAAGTGATATCGGGGAATTAGATCCTTCTTTTCTGTTCTCCACAGCCTGTCACCTAGGTGACACCCATAAAATATATTTAACCAGTGTGTTGTCTTAACTGATATGAGGAAGTGCTTCTCAGGGAAAGGGAAGCAGAAGAACGTTTGGTATTCGAGCTTCCTAAATGTCAACTAAACTACTTAAGACACAGGAATCCCTAGATTGTCTTGAGCCAGCGCAGGGGACCCAGCAGAAGCCGACTAGACAGGCTTAGTGTTGACGCTGGAAGAATGCCAAGTCAATGCAAATGTTTAATGCAAGCCCTCCATGTCTTCCAAGATTACTAGAAAGTGGTGTCATATAATGGAACACTTGTCAGTCTGGTAATCAGTCTTGGCTCTGTCCTACTCTCGCCGGGTGTCTTTGGCTAGTGACTGAAGACTTTGAGGATCCCAGTTTCCTCTGTTTTAAATTGAGGGTAATGATCATGCTGACCCACCTACCTCAAAGGGAATGTTAGTGCGACCCCTTGTAAACTGGAAAGCATTGTCCAGATACAAGGCTGTCTTCTTTGGGATCGTCATTTCCCAGGACAGAAGCCCACTCAAAGTAGCTCAAGAAAAATGGGATTCATTGGATGGATGCGTGGATATTTAATAGAATTTGGGCATCAGCACACCTTGAGGGCCCAGACCCAGGAACAGAAAGTGAGGAGCCCATGTTACGTAATCGTATTGAAAGAAACAGTTTGTCATCTTTCCTTCTTCCGTGTCTACTTCGTTTTTCTTTGCTCTGAGAGCTGGCTGGCTTTGCCTCAACAGGCATCTCAGGAAAGCGATGGTTAGCTCTGTCTCAGACTGATGGGAGTCCCCAGCTCTTCTGCCCTAATTCCAAGTTCCTGGGAAAGACTGTCCTGGCATGGACCAGGTGTTTGCCTCTCTGATGATCAGCTGTGGCCAACGAGGCTGGGTCCTGAGTCCAAACCAGGCCCCCTTTTGACAAGAACTAAGTGTAGACTGGCATCCTCAGCTGTCTGTTAATTAAACCTTGTTAATTTTGTGATATTTCTTTGGTTTATGGAGTTTAAGACAGTCAGGGGTTAGACAGCAAGAAATTTCAGTCCCTAAAGCATGCTTGCCACATCAATGATCCTAGGATATAAGGGAAGGTTTTCACTCTGCTCTCTTCCACTCTTTGGCTTGCGTTTCAAAGAGTCAGATACAGAGAAAACTGGCCACGGTTAAGGGAAGAGGAGGCCATATAGTTTTATCAACTGATGACCTTCCGTGGGGCCAGATGGAAAACAGTCCTCATTTCAAGAGAGAAAGGTCAACCAGTTTTAGTCTTTGCATCAACTCTTTCTTCCATAGGTGTGACCTGGGTTAAGATTTAATGTTTCTGAAACAAGAAAAATGTGGATGCAATACAGGATTTTGGAACGATTCACCGCAAAATAGTACAACTAATCCCAGGGGGATGTTTATTTCTTATATTTTATGTCTTCCTTGCATACTTCCAAAAAGGATTTGAGGCAGATTATAAAGGCCAGAAGCATGAACACAGCAAGATACAAAAGTTAAGTAGTAAAAAGGGAGAAATGAAAGAAATTGAATTTTAAGATTCTGGCCAATAATTTATTAATAATTTTTTGTAGGGAAGGGGTGCCTGGGTGGCTCAGTTTGTTAAGCGGCTGCCTTCAGCTTAGGTCATGATCCCAGGGTCTTGGGATTGAGCCCCACGTCGGGCTCTCTGCTCAGCTGGGAGCCTGTTTCTCCCTCTCCCTCTGCCTGCCTCTCTGCCTACTTGTGTTTTGTCAAATAAATGAAATCTTTAAAAAAATAATTTTTTGTAGGAAAAAAAATGTTAAGCGTCTGCCTTGCATCACATGTCAAAATAAATTCCCAGTGTAACCAAGTGTTAAATATAATTGCTAAACCAGAAAGGAACTAGAAAAATACATTTCAGTATTTATCTGTTAGGGTAGAAAAAGCATTTCTAAACTTATTAAAGACAGAAGAAGCCTTAAAAGGAAATATTAACAGAGCTGACTACCTGGAAATATAAAGTTTCTTGACTTTGCAAAGTCCCCAAACCAAAATCAAATGGGGAAAATATTTCCAGTACAGATGACAAAGGGTTGATAACCTCATTAGGAAGGTTGATACTCTTATCTGTTAAAAATAGTAAAAAAGTCAAACATCCCAATAGATAAATGAAGGACAGAAAACAGGAAATTTTTGAAGAGTTAATACAAAAAGCAAATATACGTGAAAGCTATCAAATCTAGGATATGAAAGGAAATGTAAATTAAAACAATGAAATTCTATTTAACATGATTAGAAAACTGTTAGCAAATTATAGCACCCAAGCTGAGAAGAGAGATTGGGGAAAAAAAGGGAACTTAGGGAGCCTGGTGATAATAAGGAGGGAAATTCCTGGAGGGCAATTTGGCAATGTTTTGAAAAGCTCATCAAACACACCCTTTTTCTCAGAAATTTTGTTTCCAGAAATTTGTTTTTGGGAAATCATCAAGGATTTGTGTAAGGCTTTAGGTACAAGGATCTTTGTCCTTTATTCTTTTATTTTTTTAATTTTTTAAAAGGTTTTATTTATTTGACAGACAGAGATCACAAGCAGGCAGAGAGGCAGGCAGAGAGAGAGAGGGAGGAGGAAGCAGGCTCCCCGATGAGTAGAGAGCCTGATGCGGGACTCGATCCCAGGACCCCGGGACCGTGACCTGAGCCGAAGGCAGAGGCTTTAATCCACTGAGCCACACAGGCACCCCTATTCTTCTTCTTTTCTTCTTCTTTTTTTTAATAGAAACTATTTCCCAAAGGTTTTATAACAACCATTGATTATTTTTACAATAAGAAAAGCAACACAAAATAATTTGTTGCCTTTCCATATCTGTTTCCTTTCATTGGGAAGTTTGTATAGGATTAACGAATTCCTGTCAATTAGGCAGTTTGTACTCAACTCTGAAGAGTAAAGTAACATTGGTCCGCCAGCATCTGGCTTGGGTGGGGGGGATTGGTAATTAAGTAAAAAGGTTTCTGAGTCATCAAAACTTGCACCAACACTTTTTACTGTTAATATGAGAGCTCCCTAGAGCTTTTACTTAGAATTTCCTTGCTGTTGTTGTAGACAGAATTTGAAAGAGCCCCGTTTTCTCTTTCCATCCTCCAGTGGGTTGAAGGCAGGCCCTTGGTTCCAGTGGAAAGGACGGGGTTGGGGAGGGGGGCCCACCAGGAGGGAAGAAGGGCACCTGAATTAACCAACACAAAAACAGAAACAAAGAAACAAACACAAGTTCTCACAAAGCTTGGCAGTTTGGTGCCAAAGCAGGGACAAGCAACCCTTCCCACCGAAACCGTTCTTGAAGGCACGGATCATAATTAACATTCCCCATAAAGACCTGGAGTCCCCTGGAAAAATTCAAAGCAAGACGGTCAAAAGAGAGCTTTTACATAAGGTGAAGAAATGAGGTGACTCCCGGGGAGAGGCCAGTGGCGGGGTCTGGTCTCGTGCGACTCTTGGGAAGTTGTTCTGCCCTTTGGTGGCCGATCTACCCGAGTGATGTGCGTGTGGCCCTTCTCCTCTGCTCACAGGACTGCCCTCCGGATGCCGAGGACTTCCGAGCCCAGCAGTGCTCTGCCTACAACGACGTCCAGTATCAGGGCCGTTACTACGAATGGCTTCCCCGGTACAACGATCCGGCTGCCCCCTGCGCACTCAAGTGTCACGCACGGGGACAGAGCTTGGTAGTGGAGCTGGCTCCCAAGGTCCTGGATGGGACTCGCTGCAGCACGGACTCCCTGGACATGTGCATCAGTGGCATCTGTCAGGTGAGCCACACCTACTTCCCGTACCCCAGGTCCGGCAGCGCCACGCCCACTCTCCCTACCGAGCCTGGCTCTCTTCTTTTGTTCATGCAGATGAAACGTTGCTTCTGATACTTTTCATGTAAAAAAAAAAAAAATATGGCAGACAGCATCACTCACCTTCAAATTATGTTTTATTTATTTAAAAAAGCATAAACTTTGTCCAGGTAGACTCAGAAGACTGCAGTAGATGACACCGTATGGTTTCTCTAGGTCAGTGGTGCTCCAGCTTGAAATGGCATCAGAATCGCCCAAAGGACTTGTTAAAACACAGGGTGCGGGACCCCCATCCCCAGAATCTCTGACCGAGTGGGTCTGGGCTGGAGCCCCATAATTTGCATTTCTGACAAGTTCAAGGGAGATGCTGAGGCTGCTGCCCTAGGGACCCCAGTTAGAGAACCACAACTTGGGAAGGATAATATGGATGGGTTTGGGAAGCCTTTTAACAACGTACTGTTTTATTAAAATTAATTTGTTGATTTGTGTCTTTGGGAGCAATGACTGACTTACTAAAAAAATGAGCGTGAGTGCATTCTGGTAGATTTTTCGGAGTGGAGTTTGCAACGCTGTGAAGCAGGTAATGGAGATGCAGAACCCCACCCCCTTCCCCAGCTCGCAGTGGCTGTGAGGATCCAGGGCCCCGGGCCAGGTTGCTGAGATCGGATGGGGATGGCAGGGAAATGATGAGACTCTACCGCCGTTCCCTTAATCTCTGGAGGCATATTTTAAAAGAATTGTGTCTAGGATTCCATACCCTATTATGCTCCTAAGAAAAACAGTATGAATAAGGACAACACCCAACCACCTACCAAGTGTCGCCCACTACCAGCCATCTTGGGGGTCACATGGTCAAAGACGAGCCATGACCTTGCTCTTCGAAGTTGCCTCTCCTGCCTCCATCTGCTCATCTAGAAAGTGGCCTCCCGTTGCTCACCGCACCATTTTGGAGTCCTTCTTGAGTCCCCTCTGTCAACACACACATCTAATCCATTGTCATTCTGTGTTCAAAGTCTTTTTTTTTTTTCTTTTAAATCCACCATTCCTTTCTGTCTGCATGACTTCTTTTTTGGTCTATGCCTCCATCAACTCTGACCTAAATCACATCGCTAGCCTCCTCTCCTGCGCTTCCAGCTCCCACGATGGTCCCGTGAGGGTCCATTCTCCACCCGGCACCTGAAGCGATTGCTTCAAAACCCAAGACCGTTTCATTGTAAGAGTTGGTCACTCCCCGACTGAAATCCTTCGATGACTTATCACGGCCTCGACAGTGAAATCTGCGGTCCTCGTTTGGCTTTTCAGGCTCTTCCTGGACACCCACGCTTCTTAAAAAATAGACTTAATTTTCTAGATTCACAGCGAAATTGAGTAGAAGGTACAGAGAATTCCCATCTGTCCCCTGGCACTTCATACGCATAACCTTGCCCGCTATGAAATCCCGCATCAGAGTGGTCCATCTGTTTTGATCAATGAGCCTACGTTGACACATCATTACCACCCAAGGTCTGTGCTGACTCTTGGTGATATGTGTTCTGTGGGTTTTGGCGAATGTCTGTTGACTGCTTCTACCAGTGGAGTGTCTTACAAAGCAGTTTCACTGCCCTGAAAGCCCTCTGTGTTCTGCCTGTTCCTTGCCTCCCCTGCTAACCCTTGGCAAGCACCGATCTTTCTATTGTCTCCGTAGTTTTGCCTTTTCCAGAATGTCATACAGTTGGAATCACAGAGCGTGTATGCTTCTCAGATTGACTTCTTTTACTTAGTAGTGTGCATTTTAGTATCCTCCGTGTCTTCCATAACCTGGCAGCTCATTTCTTTTTATCAATGACTGACACCCCATTGTCTGGATGAACTACATTTTACTTTCCTACTGAAGGACATCTTGGTTGCTCCCAAGTTTTGGCTTTAAACCAAAGCCATAAAGCTGCTTTAAACATCCATGTGCAGATTTTTGTATGGACACAAATTTTTGACACATTTGGGAAAACACCAAGGAGTATAATCGTTGGCTCACGGTAGGAGTATGTTTAGTTTCATAAGAAAGTGCCAAACTGTCTTGCAAAGTGACCATTTTGCACTCCCACCAGCGATGAATGAGACTTTGTCTTGTCCCACATCCTTGCCAGCATGTGGTGGGGTCCTTCCTCCAGATTTGGGCGTCTAGTAAGTGTGTAGTGTCATTTCATCGTTGCTTTGATTTGTAATTCCCTTAATGAAATACGGGGTTTAATATCTTTTCTTCTGCTTATTTGCCATCTATATATCCTCTTTGATGAGGTAACTGTTAAGCTCTTTTACCCATTTTTTTAAAAAGATCTCATTTATTTATTTCACAGACAGAGATCACAAGTAGGCAGAGATGAAGGCAGAGAGAGGGGGAAGCAGGCTCCCTGCTGAGCAGAGAGCCCAATGTGGGGCTCCATCCCAGGACCCTGGGATCATGACCTGAGCCAGCCAAAGGCTGAGGCTTTAACCCACTGAGCCATGCAGGTGCCACTCTTTTACCCATTTTTAAACTGAGTTGTTCATTTTCTATCATTGAGAGATATTTGTGTCTTTTGGGTAACAGTCTTTTGCAAATATTTTTCTCCCAGTGTAACTCATCTTCTCATGTTCTTGACTGTGTCTTTTATAGAGCAGAAGTTTTTAATTTTCAATGAAGTCCAGCTTAACAATTATTTCTTTTCTAGGCATTGTGCCTTTGGTATTGTATCTAAAAAGTCATCATCATGCTCCAGGTCAACTAGATTTTTCTCCCATTTTATCTTCTAGGAGTTTTATAATTTTGTGTTTTATATCTAGGTGTGGGATTCATTTTGAATTAATGTTTGTGAAGGATTTAAGTCTGTCTCTAGATACTTTTTCTTTTGCCTGTGGATGTGCAGTTATTCTAGTCCTTTTGTTGGAAAGATGATCTCTTCTCTGTTGTATTGCCTTTTCTCCTTTGTCGAAGATCAGGTGACTGTATTAATGCATTTCCATGCTCTCTATTATTTTCCATTGATTTGTTTGTCTCCTCTTTTGCCAGTACGACACTGTTGTGATTACTTTAACTTTATAGTAAGTCTTAAAGTTGGGTAGTGTCAGTTTTCTGACACTGTTCTTCTCCTTCCGTATTGTCTTGACTATTCTGGGTCCTTTCCCTCTCTCTCTATAAACTTTTTTTTCCTTTAAATTTCTTTTCAGTGTTCCAGAATTCATTTTTTATGCACCACTCTCAGTGCTCCATGCAATATGTGCCCTCCACAATTCACACCACCAGGCTCCCCCATTCCCCCACCCCCCCCTCCAAAACCCTCAGTTTGTTTCTGAGTCCACAGTCTCTCATGGTTCATCTCTCCCTCTGACTTCCCTCAACTCCCTTCTGCTCTCCATCTCCCCATGTCCTCCATGTTATTCCTTATGCTCCACAAGTAAGTGAAACCGTATGATAACTGACTTTCTCTGCTTGACTTATTTAAATCAGTGTAATCTCCTCCAGTACCGTCCACGTTGCTACAAAAGCTGGGTGTTCATCCTTTCTGATGGAGGCGTAATACTCCATAGTGTATATGGACCACATCTTCCTTATCCATTCGCCGTTGAAGGGCATCTTGGTTCTTTCCACAGTTTGGCGACTGTGGCCACTGCTGCTGTGAACATTCTCCGTAAACTTTTGGGTCAATCTGTCAGTATCCACAGGATGACTTCTTGGAATCAAGTTGAGAAGAACTAACGTCCTGCCAACACTGAGTCTTCCTGTCCACAAACAAGGACTACCTCTCCATTCATTTAGTTCTTTTTAAATTACTTTCATCAGAGTTTTGTAATTTTCCTCGTATAATTCTTGTACAAAATTTTTTGTGGTAGTACATTTAATTTTCATGAGAAATCGGTCTGTAGGTTTCTTGTAACATCTTTATCTGGTTTTGGCATTCGGGGAAATGCTATTCTCGTAGAATGAGTTAAGAAGTATTCTCTCCTCTTTTTCTGAAAGAGATCGTAGAGAATTGGTATAATTTCCTAAATGCTTGGCAGAATTCGCCAATGCACGCATCTGCACCTCATGTTATCTGTCTTGGAAGGTTATTAATTATTGGTTAAATTTCTTTAATAGATAGAGACCCATTCAGATTGATTTTTCTTCTGTGAGTTTTGGCAGATTGTGTCTTTCAAGGAATTGGTCCATTTCATCTAGGTTATCAAATTTGAAGGCACAGAATCGTTTATAATATTCCTTTGTTATCTTTTCAATATCCATGGGATCTGTAGTGCAGGTCCCCTCTTTCATTTCTGATATTAGTAATTTGTATCTTCTTTTTTTCCTTAGTTAGCCTGTTAGAGACTTGGGATTTGAGTGATCTTTTAAAAAAACAGCTTTTGGTTTCATTGATTTTCTTTATTTCCTGTTTTCAATTTCACTGATTTCTGCTCTAGTTTTCATTATTTTTCTTTTTATTATTATTTTGTATTTAATTTGTTCATTTTTTCTGATTTCCTAAGGTGGGAGCTTACATGATTGATTCTGAATTTTTCTTCTTTTCTTACATATGCATTCAGTGCCATAAATTTCCCTGTAAGCACAGCTTTTACTTCATTCCCACATATTTTGATAAATAGTATTTTCATGTTCCTCAAAGTATCTTAAAATTTCTCTTGAGATCTCGTCTTTGACTCTGTGTTATTTAGAAATATGTTGTTTAGGGGCACCTGGGTGGCTCAGTGAGTTCAGTACCTGCCTTCGGCTCAGGTCATGATCCCTGTGTCAGTCTCCCTGCTCAGTGGGGAACCTGCTGTGCTCTCCTGTGCATGCCCTCTCTGTCTGTCTGTCTCTCTCAAATAAATAAATAAGTAAATAAAATCTTAGGAAAAGAAGTATGTTGTTTAATATCCGAGTATTTTGGAATTTTCCAGCTATATTTCTGATACCGATTCCAAGTTTAAGTCCAATGTGGTCAGAGAGAAGATGTTGTATGATTCCATTTTTTTAA